ACATTTTCCCTTTTCATTAATTTTTGTTAGTTGACAAATTGCCTATGAGAACTGAATGTGCTCCAAAAGGGCCAGAATGTCAGTTAAAGGTGGGAGGGAGGAGGGGGGGAGAGAAAGAAATCAACCTGCTCACGTCCCTGGCAAATTCTAGAGGGGAGATTTTTGGAAGGCAGGGTTTTAAAAAGAAATCCTTCTCCCACTCCCTGAAATTCCTTGTGGGTTCCCAGCTTGTTCTCTCTGACTTTATCTTTGCCCCGTACTTCCTCTCTGTGTGTGTGTGTGTGTGTGTGTTTTAAAATACTTTGTTGAACAACCTTGATTTGGAAACAAAGGAGCGTGTATTGCTCTAGCATTTGTTAGTCCCACATTCGAGAGCCCCAAACCTTAAAGCCATCTCTTGGTAGTATCTGCCATAGATGCCAATGCCGTCTCCAAAGGAAGCACTTTTCCACCACAATGCAGCCAAAAGTGTGTGTTTGTACACCACTAGTTTAAGGATTCTGTCTCCACCTGTGTTCACAACTGTGCATATAAATCTCTGCATGCTGATGTCTGAAGTAGATCGTGGGGAGGGCATTGATCTTATTCTATCTTTTTGTTTTTAGAACTTGAGTTCAAACAATTTGAAGGCTGCTGCTGTGGTGTGCAGGGGCCTTGAGAGCGGGGCTCCCTTTCATAAACTGCCAGAAGGTGAAAGGAATCCAACCAGTGGTTTAGATTCTACTTATATTCTGTAGGTGGGGTATTCAGACACACACAAAGGCAGGTACCCTGAGACATCACTGGACTGAAGCAGAATTCTCCTTTGCACTGTTTCTATAAATGCCTGCTGAGTCTCCCAGAGCAGGGGCCTGCAGACTTTGGGATCAGAGTCCATGCAGAACCAAATATGGTTCTCAAAATCTTCAAGTTAAGCAAATCATGAGGAGATTTATGCTGGTGCACAAGAACAATCACTCAGGGTGCTCCTGTATACCTTTATTATTGATGGTGAAACCTCTTTTGTGACACTTTCTAGTGCAGGACTTGTGTCAGGGCCGCAGAAAAGTTATGGGTTATTAACCAGCATATCAATTGCCAGTAATGTAAAGTTGTATATTTTCAGTTATGCTGTTCTCCTTTCTTAGACTGACTCTTGGTTGATTCTCTTGATCTTAAAGCTGATGTACTTTGGTTCTTTAATTATACAAGTGAGAAACGAAGTGAATGAGTAAATTAATAAATGGTTTGCTAACCCCAGTTCTAGATCACAAACTTGCTTGTGAGGAGGTGGAGGTATAAAGGTACAATGAAAAAGAGCTATGGGAAGGCTTGAACACCAGTAAACTTCGCAAAGTCAAAGCAATACTGTATAGGTGGCCAATGCCTCTCATGGCAATCACAGAAAGCAAAAGTATAGCCTCGGTGGCCAGACCCTACCTTCAAATAGGGGAGGCCCCACCAACCCTGGACCATTCCCTTGAGACTCAAACATGTACTGCTTGAATATCCTCTTTTCTCAGCTGTTTGCTAGACCTTTTACATACATAGGTTAGTTGATGTACACCACGTAGGCCTCTCTCTCTCTCTCTTTTCTAGGAGAGCCGTCGTTACTGGGTGCTCCGGATCTTTTTGAGAAGACAGTCAGCTGGCTGTCAACTCCTCTTTCTTTAAAGCACAGGGGAGTTATGACCAGGTGATCTCTGAAATTTTTATGTCGTTGCAAAGTTACTTAGAGCATGATGCAATATGGCCCTAGGTGTTACCCATCCTGTCTTCCTTGGAATGTGGGAGTTGTCTGGAGTTATGTTAATCTGTGCCATTCATGTTCTGTCTTCCATTTGAGTCCAATTTGGGTGCCGTCCAGTTGCTGTCATTGGCATCCTGGCTTTGAACAGTTCACAACAGCTGTACTTCCAAATGGCGTAGGAAGAAGGGGGAAATGGAGAAGAGCTGCTTCCATTTCCCACTAGGGGCTCTCTTCTGTCAGTTCATGCTGAGTTTGCGGGGGGGGGGGGAATTAGAAAGTAGACTGTAGGATGAATGGGAGGCCTGGCTGAACAAGGAAAGTCTTACAGGAGTGTGCCTTTGGTGAACCTCTCCATGGACCTCCAGACTTGGGGCCCACTGAACTTCCAAGCATGTGACAGGAAGTCATGTGACATAAAAGTGATGACCCAGGAAGAGGGGGAGCCAGGGTTATGGCCTCATTGGTGTTGAGACCAGGACTGTGGGCAGGAGGCCGAGAGATCCAGGGGCAGGAGATGCACCCCAAACAGCAGGGGGTGTATCATAGTGAGGAACAAGCCAAGGGTCAGACCCATGGGGGATTCCCCTCCACCTCTGCATGACCTGATCTCTCTGTCCGGTATCCTTGCTCTCTAGGCCCTTCCCATGGTCCTTCTAAAAGGCAGCCCTCCCTAAATCTTGACTCTCTATAAGGGCTTGCAACTCAGTGGGAAGAGCTCCACAGCCCACCAGTGGGTCCCAGCCTATGGGTTAACTTCCGGTGCCCTAAACAAAAGGATGCCTGTATCTGTGGGAAAGCCCTTGAGAGGTCATTCTCGGTGGTTCATGCTAGATGAACTTGGCAAATGCCCTACTCTTGATTTGTAACAGGCTCAAAGGGGGAAGAGGCTTTAGCAACTTAAGGCCTTAGAACTTTATTTTAAAAATCCTCATTCTGGTACAGCGTAGAAGAGAATGGGGGTGGGCACATGTTGGAACTCTGGCGCAGCGTGCGTCTGGTGGCCCACCTTGAGGTAGGTTGCCATGTTCTTCCCTGTTGAAGTTTCCCAAAGACCTTTCAAAGTTGTGTAGAGCACACATGGCCCCCATCTCGCCTTGAGCCAGCATTTGGTTCACTGTCTTTGGGTGCCTGCCTTTTCTATATGGCAAAGGTCGTGGAACTTCTAGTTTTTATGGCTTTGGGCCGTGTGGCTGTGAATCGAGGGTGGGCAGCCGAGGGGCCCTTTCAGCTGAGCCCTGCTAAGGCAGGTTCCCGAGAGGCAGAGGCATTGGCCACTGTGTAATAGCCTTTTATAGTAAAAAGCTACAATATCACTTATTCTTCTCCCCCCCACTCCCTCCCCGCAAGTCTCAAGCATATTTTTGAAAGCTTAGATTTCCAGTGCGAAACCCAAACTTTCCAGAGCGGTGGATCAGTGTGTGTTACTGTTGGAGACGGGAGCTTTAACTTGGCAACAGCTTCTTGTGAACTGCGGAATTGTAAAGCTTCTTGTATGCTTAGGTATTAAAATGCATTTATGGTTTTTTAATAGCTTCCTGTAAAAAAAAAAAAAGGTAGTGTATTTCTGGGCCAGAGTCATTGGCTTTGACAATTTCTGCACATGAATCAACCTCTTTGTAACCTGATGTTACAGCCAGAATTTTAGGAATTTCCTTTACGAGGGCTCAGCAGTCAGTCCCCGGGGGAAGCTGAGTTGCTTTCTAGGTACAGCTGAAAGTCCTTACTTGACAAAGGTAAGAGTGCTTAGAGAAGGAGAGCTTGTTTTGGGGCAAAGGGGAGGTTTAGGCCTGACTATGAGATGGCCCCACAATAGATGTCGCCCCTACGCAGATTATGCAAGTGCGTGTGGGCACACAAGAACTCTGCCTTGTCCTGAGTCGGACTGTGGTCAGTCTTGCCTACTCGGGACTGGCAACAGTTGTCCACTTTCCACATGAGATCCTTTTAACTGGAGATCTCAGGGATGGAACTTGGGACTTTTGCATGCAAAGCAGATGCTCTGCCACTGAGTCACGGCCCCACCCAAAGAATACAGGGTTAACCTTCCCTTGTGTGTGGCTCTGAAATATTAAAAGTTTCCCCTTTTGCAGCCAAGCAGAATTAGTTCTGTCTGAACTCCAAACTATGGTTTGTTCTCTTTCCTCTCAACCAAGGTTCCAAGCAGTTTAGTCCTCATTTGGACGAAAAGAGCCCCTTTTTAAATGTTCAGACATGACAAAGCAGACAACCTCCTCCCCCCAAGCACCTCTTATTCCCTTAGGATGCCTCTGTGACATTCTACCTGTTCCCCCTACCCAACAAGCTGGGCTGGTCCAACTGTCCAGCCAACCCAATGGTTGCTTGGAGTACCAGTATGAAGCAGCATACCCAAAATCCTGAGCTGCACAGAGGATGCTTTTATTCTACCCATGCAATAGATTCTGGGCTGTGCGTCTAGTGTCATAGTGCACCTGTGTTGGAATGCAGAAGGTCTTAGGCCAGCCCTGCCAGTGGCAGTGGATGCTGCTTTGGGGCGGAACAGTGCCTTTCTTGTGGTCCCAGGCTGTGATCTGAAGGTTATGTGCAGTGTTGGTCAACTTGGTGAAAGCTAAAGAGAGATGGATCTGGTCAGTTCCCAGATAGGAGGCCTCTTGGGAGTCCTTGGGATGCTGCTTTGGAGGGCCATGGTTGGGTTATAAAGGAAATGGCCATTTGTTGGTGGTAGGGTTAAGAGTGGCAGAAATGTGGTGGGGTTAAGAGTGGTAGCCTCTAATCTAGAGAACCAGGTTTGATTCTCCACTCCTCCACATGAAGCCACAACTGGGTGACTTTGGGTCAGTCACAGTTCTCTCAGAGCTCTCTCGGGCCCACCTACCCCACAGGGTGTCTGTTGTGGGGAGAGGAAAGGAAGGAGATTGTAAGCCGCTCAGAGACTCCTTCGGGTAGAGAAAAGCGGGATATAAAAACCAACTCTTCTTCTTCAGTGCTTGAAGTAGGCCCCATGGTTGGTCTCTGGCATTTCTGGTTAAAGGACCTCGGGTAGGAGACGTTGGGAAAAACTTCACCACACAGTCTAGAAAGCCACCCCGAAAAAGAACAGAGTGCTGAGCTAGATGGACCAGTGGTCTGACTTGGTATAAAGTAGCTTCATATCAGAAAGCATCTCTGTGGAAGGATGTGGATGCATTTTTTTTCTTGGCATGTCCTGCAAGTTGTTGTTGCCCATTAACAGCAGAGAGCTCAGACAAATGATATGCATCTGAAAACCTCTCTCCTCTTCCCCACCCTGCAGGTTGGCCGACTTTCGTTGGTGGCATGTTGAGGTCTTCTGAAGATCAGTGGAGTGGGTGCATGATAGCCAGGGGACTGCTCTAACAGCTGGGGGGCACACCAATATGGGCCAGTGTGTCACCAAGTGCAAGAATCCTTCTTCCACCCTTGGCAGCAAAAATGGCGACCGGGAGTCAAGTGGCAAGGCTCATGGCAAACGGAGCACGATTCACAAAGAAGAGCACAGCACAGTCTGCGGGAAGTCCTCTGGGGACATCCTCGTCAACGGGACAAAGAAGATGGAGGCCGCTGTAGAGTCCAGCCAGCCGCCAGCTTCTTCGGGGGATGCCAAGAAAGAGCCAGTGTCCGGCACCGAGGAATCCTCCCTCCATAGGACTGAGGAATTATTTAGGAGGTACAAGGACGAGCGGGAAGATGCCATCTTAGAGGAAGGCATGGAACGTTTTTGCAATGACCTCTGTGTTGACCCTACCGAGTTCAAAGTACTGGTCCTTGCGTGGAAGTTCCAAGCAGCTACCATGTGCAAATTCACAAGGTGAGTTCGTACCACGTTGCTATGCTTAGTTTAAAAGCTGCCCTGTTTGTCTGAGGGCCTGTTCTGTTCCTTAAAACAGTGGCTGTGAGAGGAATGTGGAAGGGAGGGACAAATACCCCAAACTTTTCTCTTTGCCCCTTTGCCCTTCCCCGTCCAAGGGAGGGGTGGTGTCTTGTTTAACAGCCCAGCGGGCTTTGGCCCACAGTGACTTGTCCGTTGTTCGGGCCCTTGTTCTCCTTCCTGGCTTTGGGCGGGTGGGTTAGCCTTGTTAGGCCAAGCCGCAGATGCACTGGCACAGCTGTGAGAGATTTCTCTGTATTTTTGAGTGTCTGTGACACTTGGAGTGCTGTCGGGGAGAATCCGCATGTTACTTCCGAAGTGTATCCCCAAATCGTTGTGCTGCTGGAGGAGAATCGCTGCCGTTCTGCTGAGCTTAAAAGCAGTGTGGCGAGGAGGCTCATTGCTCACTGACCTTGTAAGTACTTGGAAAACTACAGATAGAAAAGCAAGGACTCTCATGACAGCATGTTCTCGACATCCTGGCCCTGGACCCCTAGCCAAATGCTACAGCCAGTGGTGAAAGTGACCGTGTACTGTCAGTGCCGGGGCTTCAGCCTGCTTGGAATCCACAGCCTCAGCTACTGAAGTCCTGTGCTGCCCCCTGTCCCCCCACCCCCCCCCCTGTGATTTTGGGACTTGCCTGGCTGTGTTCAAGTCTGTCTTTGCAGTTGTATGGATTAGAGACATGCCCTCCGGGGTTTGCTTTTAATGAGTTCTTCCCCTCTGGCTGTTGAATTGAAGAAAAAATGTTCACTTCTGAATGCGGAATATGCCAAGAGAGCTTGTCAGTGGGGACCTGTCATGAGGGCTTTTGTGAGTTCTTCTGGTAAAGGGTTTGGCTTCCCAAGGACAAAAACTGGTATCTGAAGCAGAATTTGGCACTCAGGGATGCTTGGCTTAATTTAAAAAAAAAGCTTTAGTGTGTTTAGAGTTGCCAGGAACGAGGGGTCAGAGGTGGTCTTTCTTTCTCCAGCGGTGTCCTCTGAACTGCCTTGTCTCCTCTCTGTGCCTCCCTCCCTCCCTCCCATTTCACCAGTTCCTTCTAAAAAACTGACATAAAAATACATGTGCACACTTCTGTGCATAAAGGCAGAGGAGGGGCAGATAGATGTCCGTCAGCCAATTTTTCCTTGGGCAGCTCCTGATGGAAGGGCAGTGGGTCTTCTGCTTCTCTCTCTCAGATTTCCTAGAAATACAGTGCTGGGTCCCCAACCAAGGCAAATGAATGCAACAGGTTCTTCCCCCCAGCTGCCAACTTCTGTGGGCGTTTCCTTTTGTCAGTAATGTGAATGCTTTCCCCCTCTTTCCAGCAGTGCCAAAGCAGCTTACAACTTCTGTTTCTAGCATTGTCCTTATGGTGAGGTTTTAAGACTTTCCGTGCAAGGGTGCAAGGGTTGTTTTGCCTCTTCCAGCACTCAAGATTACTTTGCAAAGCAAACCCTCCTTGTCTGAGAGTGGAGAGACATCCCCAGATGGGGGCTGGAGAGGGGATGGGCGTGTCTTGCTCTGTCTTCTGCTCTTAAAAAACAAAACCATTCTAACGGGCTTCTCTCTTGGTTGGCCACAGGATGGAATTCTTTGATGGCTGCAAAGCAATACATGCAGACAGCATCGAGGGGATTTGCGCTCGATTCCCCAGCCTCTTGAATGAAGCCAAACAGGAGGAGAAGTTCAAGGATCTCTACCGTTTCACTTTCCAGTTTGGTCTGGACTCAGAAGAGGGACAGAGGTCGCTCCACCGAGAAATAGCCATCGCCCTTTGGAAGTTAGTCTTCACACAGAACAAGCCCCCAATCTTGGACCAGTGGTTACACTTCTTAAACGAGAACCCCTCAGGAATCAAGGGAATTTCCCGGGACACGTGGAACATGTTCCTCAATTTTACTCAGGTCATCGGGCCAGACCTTAGCAATTACAGCGAGGACGAGGCTTGGCCCAGTCTCTTCGACACCTTTGTGGAATGGGAAATGGAGTGGCGGAAGAAGGAAGAGGAGGGCCAGGGCATGGCGGCTTCACAGACAGACAGCTTCAGTGCCGAGCACCCAACTTAGCGGCCTCAGACACGATGGCCGTCCCCCATCGAACCCTTCATCATTTGTAAGCTCTGGACTCCTCTGGAATTTACAGACGCTCCAGATTTTTCTACTTTACACCTTTCTCTGCCTTGTTACCTGAAAGGGCTCTAAAATACCAGATCCATATTTTAGGCACTTTTGTTGAAAAAAAAAATGTTTTGGGTTGTTCCTGTTGTTCTTTTCCTGGAATGTTTGATCCCCTGTTTGCAAGTTAAACAATTATTTTCTCTTAAAAAAAAAAAAGTTTCATATTTTGGAATAATTATGTCTTGACCTTGGTTGCACAACTTTTAAAAAAACACAACCTTTTTGGGGGGTGAGGTTTAAATTAACATTGCTAAAGTATACAGTGCCAGATTGACGTTCTGCAACATTTGTTTTTTCAGGGCAGGTTTATACTGTGTGTAATGCTGTTTACATTGATTTTTTTTTTTAATTTTAAAGTTGTGATTGATTTTAAGATGTATACCATGATTAATAACAGTGTTAACTGTTAACTACAAATGCATTAATTCCCAGGTAAATAAGACTCTGAAAGCCAATGAAAGCAGCATTTTCCTTCTCTGTAGCCTGGTTAGCCTCTTTTAAGTCAGCCCTCCCCTTTTAATGAGATGACAGGTGAAAAAAATGCCCTGTGCCTGCCATCCAGCAGAGCTTTCAGTAACCTTTTTTGTAGCATCAGCCCTGAGACGACATGACCCACCTGCTCCCTGAAGAGGGCTGCTTTCACTTTTCTCTGCTCTAGAGCTCGCCCCAGCTGAGCCAGCCAGCTGTGACTTGAGGCTGTTTTGCCTACTATCAACAGCAGGCTCCTCCTACCCTGCTGGGTAGCCAGCCATCATGCACTGTAAGTGGGTGGGGCTCCCCCCCCCACAGTGGCTTGGCACTGGTTAGGCTAGCAGCAGCTCTGGAGAAGGCATGTGGAGGGATCCCCCCTCCCGTGGGGATCATTAGGGGGTCTCCTGCCAGTGTTGCAAGCCCACAACCGGCCAGTCCTTCCTTTCTGCAAGGTGCAGACGAGAAGCAGTGCAACCCCTCTTTGTAGACGCCGCTGGGCAGTGCGGAAGCATTTTTGATGCAACTCCAAAAGCCAAAGGCAAGTTATCTTCCAAGGTTTTACCTAATCTTGACAGAAGTGACATTTTTTTATCCCTCTCTGGAGGGGACCAAAAATCTCCCTAACCCTGGGCTTTAATACCTAAGTCTGAATTGCTAAATCATAGCTCAGATCATCCCATTTCCCCCTGCCCCCCCCTCCCCACGAGGGAATTTGCACCAGCTAAGCCTGATGGCTGCTGTGTTTCTGGCAAGGCCCCCCCCTCCCCATGCACTTCTGATGGCTGCGCACCAGACCTAAATTCAACCACCACATCTCGTTTTATAGCACAGCAATGCAGAAATGTGAGCTTTCTGCTTTCTCCGACAGCTGTTGAAAGGCCCAGAGCTTTTTGGGTCAGGAACAGGTAACACGGCTTATTTCACCTTTTTTCAAAGAATAGCCTTTAATAGCAACCTGGTTGGCATCTTGTTTTGGGCTAACTTAAACGATGTTTCCATAGGATTGAATTTATTTTTATTTGTTTTTTTAAACTGTACTGGGAACTATTGGCTTGCTTGAAACTGTTGTGACCTTTTAAAAAGGGAGTTTTATTAACACTGGCTGAATTAACTGACTTTTCCCCCCTTAACGTCACCATTTTAAAAACTTTTGGTAAAAGGGATAATTGCTGAGGCTTTCTTTGGAGATGAGCCTGACCTCCATGCTACATGTTTTTTTAAAGTATAAAACTTTATTTCCAGGCTTGCAATGAAGGCTCAAAGTAAGTTTAATTTAAAAACACAATCTCTATCTCTCTCTCTTTTGATGAGTTGATGGCTTAGATGAGCCGCCTTCTGAATCTGCTTACAGGCCTGTCGTATTCTGAGGAGGGGACAGGAGCTTGTAAGGAGTTTCAGATCTGCGGCGACAGCCTGTTCTGTCTGCTGTGTTGGCTGAGCAGATGTTACTGCAGGTCCGTTTCTGCCGCGGTCTAATCCTGCCAACGGGCTGAGCACACAAGCTTGGATCCTGTGCCCCTGTGTAGCTCTTTTGTGCAGGGCGACGAGGTGGCAAAAGTGGCACCGCCCGGCTGTAGCGTTTTGGTCCCCTCCCGAGTTTGCACAGGTCTGCTTAGGGGGTTGCGTTCCCCACCTACCCGCCCCACGTGGGGTTAGTTCCGTCAATACGGTCCGACTCGTCTACGTTTTCAGTCACTAACAATGGCGGGGCGGATTTAAAAATTACAAAAAATAAAAGAAATACTTGAAATTCACATCTTCTCTCGCTTGTCAGCAGCAGGGGTTTGACATTGATTTTGTTGGTTTCTGTCACTATTGAGTATGTTGAGATACCTTTCTCAAAACTGTGCAAATGCTCCTGGTTTTTAAGATGCAGCAGGTGACTTCTGGGACCCTGCTCTGGAGTCCCGCTAAGAAGTTCTTTCTTTCATGTTAAGGCTGCATGTGCATTCTGTCGATGCCATTTTATTTTGGCTAATTACAAAGGAAGTTTTGTGCCTAAAACGGGGGTGGGGGTGGGGACTTTGTCTTGTGTTAACTAGGTCCCAAAGGCCCTGAACCCTCTTGCTTGACCTTGCAAAGTATTTAACCACATGCTTGAAGGTTCAGCCCTGAGGACTTGAGAAACAAGCCTTGGTTATTAAACACATAAATGAATTTACAGTAAGCCTGTGCTTTGGAGGTTTTATATGGAGAGATGCTGTCTGGTGGAATTACTGCTCCGAGGGTTCGGGGTAAGGGTGGGAAGCCCATTTGAACTTGTAGCAGGGTTGGAGGGAAGGAGGAGAGACGGGCTTCAGAACACGACACTTTGCCGGTTGAGCCAGAAGAGCAATTGCGCGTCAGTCTGTGATGTTGGCTGCATTGGGAGTCCTGTGCTGTGCTCCAGGAGTCCATCAGCCCTGGCCACCAGCGGAGGCCTACTTTGTGAATTTCAAAGATGATGTAAGAAGAGCCCTGCTGGATCAGACTGGTGGTCCATCTAGTCCGGCATCCTGCCTCGCACAGGGAACAGCTTGCCGGTGGTCCTCTGGTGTGCCTTAACTTGGTGAGACCCATTCAGTGAAATTGGGGGGGGGGGGATCCCCATATGTGCTGTAAAGCCCCAAGTGCATGTCTGTCCCCAGCCTCCGAGGGGTGCTCTGGCCCTCTTACAAAGAGCCACTTTTTAAACCCATCAATACGGATTCTTTGGATATTAGGTTTACCGAACTCTCCAGCAAGTTGTGCATTTTAATTTATGGAAGTCTGGAATGACCAGTTTTGTTCAGATCTCTACGTGTCCCTCTCCCCTCCTGGAGCAACAGAAGCAGGCAAGAAATGTGGGCTGTATGTGGATTGTGGAGCAGCTAAGAGAATGGGGTTTAAGGGTCTATTGCATCTTTATCCCACCTGTCCTCCAAGGAGGCCAGGACAGAGCATAGGGTTCTCCTCTTCCTTTTATCCTTGCAGCAGCCCTGTGACTGTGAGTGACTGGTCCAGAGCCCCCACACCCCACCATCTTCATGGCTGGTCCTTGTCTGACATTCCTCCCTGACCCTTTAGCCACTACGTTGATTCTTCAGTTAATGCTTCTTCCCAGCTCTCTGCCTGCTGCTCATGCTATCCATGTGGGGGCTCTGGGCAGCCCCTAAGGAAAACAGCTTTCTCTCCCTTCCCCCTCTGCAAAAAAACACGCAGCTGGCTCTTACATGCACAGAGGGAATAAGGGTGTACTGGGATTCTCTGGCACAGCCTCACTGAAGCTAAGAGATACCAGGAAGTTCCTGAAGCATTGCCACTGCCCAGAGTTTTTGAGCCTCGACACAGTAGGCCAGTGGGAAAGCAGGGCACCTAGAAGTTGCGGCTTAGCAGTACAGTGCCTCCTTTACATGCAGAATGTCTCAGGCTCACTCCTCAGCGTCTTCAGTGAGATGGATCAGGTAGCAGATGATGGGGAAGACCTCTGGCTTGGTATCCCGGAGACCTACTGCCAGTCAGAGCAGACGCTACTGAAGTTGTTGCTATTGTTCAGTCGCACAGTCGAGTCCGACTCTTTGCGACCCCATGGACCACATCACACCAGGCCCCCGTCTTCCACCGTCCTCCGGAGTTTGCTCAGTTTCATGTTCGTTGCATTGGTAACACTGTCTAACCAACTCATCCTTTTCCTTTAGAATTGACTGATTTGATCTTCTTGCAGTCCAAGGGACTCTCAAGAGTCTTCTCCAGCACCATAGTTCAAAAGAATCTATTCTTCGGCGCTCGGCCTTCCTTATGGTCCAACTCTCGCAGCCATACATGACTACTGGGGATACCATTGCTTTGACCATGCGGACTTTTGTTGGCAGGGTGATGTCTCTACTTTTTATCATGCTGTTTAGGTTCGCCATCGCTTTCCTCCCAAGGAGCAGGCATCTTTTAATTTCATGGCTGCAGTCACCGTCTGCGGTGATCTGGGATCCCAGGAATGTGAAGTCTGTCACTGCTTCCATGACTTCCCCCTTTATTTGCCAAGGAGTGATGGGTCCGGATGCCATGATCTTAGTTTTTTTGATGTTTCAAGACAACTTTTGTGCTCTTCTCTTCCATTCTTAGCAAGAGGCTCTTTAGGTCCTCTTCACTTTCTGCCATTAGAGTGGTATCGTCTACATATCTGAGGTTGTTGTTTTTCCCGGCAGTGTTAATTTCTGCTTGTGATTCATTCAGTCTGGCATTTCGTATGATGTACTCTGCATATAAATTAAATAAGCAAGGTGACAATATACATCCTTGCCGTACTCCTTTTCCTATTCTAAACCAATCAGTTGTTCCATGTCTGTTTCTACCTGTTACTTCTTGGCCCTTATACAGGTTTCTCAGGAGACATGTGAGGTGGTCTGGTACTCCCATCTCTTTAAGGACTCGCCACAGTTTGTTGTGGTCCACACAATCAAAGGCTTTAACATAGTCAATGAAGCAGAAGTAGATTTTTTCTGATACTCCCTTGCTTTCTCCATAATCCAGTGAATGTTGGCAATTTGATCTCTTGTTCCTCTACCTCTTCAAAAATCAGCTTGTACTTCTGGCAGTTCTCTATCTATGTACTGCTGAAGCCTAGCTTGTAGGATCTTGAGCATGACCTTGCTAGCGTGTGAAATGAGTGCAATTGTGCGATAGTTTGAACATTCTTTGGCACTGCCCTTCTTTGGGACTGGAAGGTAAACTGAGCTTTTCCAATCCTGTGGCCACTGTTGCATTTTCCAAATTTGCTGGCATATTGAGTGCAGCACTTTATCATCTTTTAAGACTTTGAATAGCTCAACTGGGATACCGTCTCTGCTAGCTTTGTTGTTAGTAATGCTTTCTAAGGCCCATTTGACTTCACATTCCAGAATGTCTGGCTTGAGGTCAGCAATCACACCGTCATGGTTGTCAAGGACATTGAGATTCTTGTATAGTTCTTCTGTGTAGTCTTGCCACCTCTTCCTAATCTCTTCTGCTTCTGTTAGGCCCCTACCATTTTTGTCCCAAACATCTCTCAACAGAGGAAGCTTCATATATTCCTAACCCCTAAGAACTTCGCCAGAAGCCACACTCTCTGTTTCCACTTTGTACATTGAACAGTGCGTAGAGATGTGAGATTTGCTATCTTCTGTAGAATGTGGTCCAGAGTTCCAAAGCATCCCAATTCCGTCTTGTGTCTGTCTTGCATGGTCACCGGAAGGCCTTTCATTGCTTAAGCCTAAATCAAATCAGACTCGAGTTCCATGCTATGTCAGCGTGGTCCTCCATGTTAGAAGTAGTATCACTGGGGAGAGAACCATGGTAATGGGCTGTTGCTTCGTTGCTTTGCCTTAGGGAGTAGTGGGGATTTAAGACACCCAAGATTTATTTTCCTGCATTACTGGAGGCCCAGTCTTTGTATGGAAATGTACAATTCATGGTGCCACTGTGCATTGCTTCACACAGAGTCTCATCTGCTATACTTGCATCTGTAATACATTTCCCCCTGTGTTAGAATGAGCACAAAGTGCTAATCCTTAAGGTGCCACATGACTCTTTTTCCTTGCTGGTTGGCCTTTGACCTAGCAACCTGTGTCTCAGTAACGACGTCTCTCTGTTTCCCCCCACGAGTCACCTGGAGACCAACTTTCTTGCTCTGTGGTTTCTGGCCTACAGAGCCTATTTGTTCATCATCATGTCTTCTGTGCAGTCCTGCATGGGAACTGCGTATGCCTGCCGTGGCTATTCCAAAAGCTCTTGATAGTGCAAGGAACTTTCTCACCCTTTAGCACTGTTTCCACCAGGGGGGGGGGAGCTTTTTCCTCAGTTCTTTCTTAACCGCTGCTGAAGGACATCTCTGTCTCTTATCTTCTGAAAGAGGGGGAAAACAGAGCATCTTTACAAACTGTTCTGACTGCTTCAAACGCTGATTTTGAGCATCAATGCTGTTCAGGGGGGTCGATTACACCCGAGACCTTTACAGACCATTCAGGAAGGGGAATGGTCCCTGAAGAAAAATCTGTTCCAGATAACCATGGCACAACTTGGTTGTCCCCTGGTGGACCTCTTTGCATCACCAACCAACCCATCAGGTGGGCAGATCCGTCACCAGATTTTACCATCCCAGGGTCAAAGCAACCAGTGCCTTGACATCACAGTGGCCAAATGGCCTGCTGTTGGCTTAGCCACTCAGTTTCTAATCTGGAAGAACTGGGTTTGATTCCCCACTCCTCCACCTGCACCTGCTGATGTGACCTTGGGTCAGTCACAAGCTCTGGCACAGCTGTCCTTGAAAAAGAGCAGTTTCTGTCAGAGTTCTCTCAGCCCCACCCACCTCACAGGGTGTCTGTTGTGGGGAGGGGAAGGGAAAGGAGTTTGTAAGCCGCTCTGAGACTCCCAAGTGAAGGGCGGGGTATATATCCAATCTCCTCCTCCTCCTCCTCTTCCTCCTCCTCCTCCTCTTCCTCTTCTTCTTCTTCTCCTCCTTCTCCTCCTCCTCATGCTGGTTCTTCCCAAGCTGCTCAGAAAGTTCAAGGAACAGAAGGCAGAAATCATCACAGTAGCACTGTGTTGGTCCTGGAGAACGTGGTTCTCCTCTCTTCAAGAGCTGTTGGTTCACCCACCGCTAACAATTCCAGTATCACCGGATATGCTTCAACAAGGCCCAGTCTGGCATCCACATCCTCAGGGGAGGCTGCATTTAACCACTTGGAGATTGAGTGGGACAGCTTCTTACGACTTCTGTGGCAGTGACAGACACTTTATTAGCTTCTGGAAGGCCATCCACTTAAGAGAATCTACGAACAATCTTGGAAGGCCTTTGTTAGGTGGTGCAGGAAAAGAAAGCGCCCAACCCCTTGAGACCTAAGGTAAAATTTCTCCTATCGTTTCTGCAAGACAGTCGCGTCAATGGTCTCAAGGCCTCCACCCTAAGGCATCAGGTCGCAGCTTTATCGATGGTGTTACCTCAATTCCAGAAGCTTAGTCTCTCTAGATCACCCACATATTGGATGGTTTCTCAAGGGCACTGCCTTAAAAGACTCGCCCACAAATACATAGATTTCCAGCATGAAAATGACACACTGTACTGTCAGGTCTTACTAAACATCCATCCAAATCCATT